GAATAGCCTTGTATCATGTGACCTCTGTGATCATTCACAGATTTCACATGTAGTAAGCAATGATGTCAGAAGTGACATCTTGTTTACTACTATTCATGTGACCACTGATTGGCCAATCAGTGATCACATGATCAGGACCTCGCACAGAGGTCCCGTACAGCAATCGGTGTTCCGCTGTGTCCTCCACAGGCAGGGAACGTGGAGGACGTTTATAAACGGCCACCTGCTCCTGCACTGCTTCCTTCCGGTCCATGTACAAAACGGTGGTTAAATAATACCCTTTTATAAATAACTGCCTGCTGGACACCTGTGTAATGAATAATTGGACTCACCTGTTGAATTCTTGTTACTTAGGATTTTTTGTTTAAAATTTAGCTTTGCCCCTAAGATTTATACTGGGTTGTATTCACTTTTGCAATATGGTCTTGAATGAATTTGTTAGGAAAAATACTTTTTTGTGTGTGAAAATTAACAAATCTTGTTTGAAATCAATGGCCGGCATTTGAGGGAGTATTTTGTAGCATAGTGTCCCATAGAAAAAATGTTGATTCTGAAAGGAAAGTAAAGGTTTTCTGACAAATCTGTTGGGGTATATATTACTGTATATTACCCATGATTTGAAAATAATACAAATTAAAGCTAAATTAAATATTGTACTGTAATAAACTATACTGTACTATCCTATTAAAAACTGCATTGAATAAATAACAGCAGTTGAACAATTAGCAGAAAAGGCACACTACAAAAATTCAAATATTGCACCGCTTTCCCTAAATATTATGCTAAAAATTACACATAAATTAACCTAATACTAACATAATATAAATACAACCTAAAAATCTGGAACATCAATCCAAATTAAAATCTTCATGTCCAACACTCACATATAGGAATTATATCATTTGATGACTACAAGCAAAAATGATTTCCTGTGTCACTTTGTGGTGCATCGTCGTTGTAACAATCTCTCACTGAAAGTACACATCAGACTGACTAGCGTGTTGTGGCATAGGTGGAAGTAGTTGTCCAAGAATGGACAGTACCTTGGAGAGCATCCACCTCACTGACACTGTTGTTAAAGACTTCAACTCCGATCCAATAACATCAATGGCCTTGCAGATGATCTTATTGAGTCTGTTGGTGTCGGCCACCCTAAGCCTGCTTCCCCAGCATACCACCACATTCAGCATCTTCTGGAAAATGTTAAAAGACCTCATCCTCCAAAAATTATAGGTGGCTCTGGTCCTTCCTATAGAGCACTTCAGTATTCTTACTCCAGTCCACTTTATTATCTATGTGCACCCCTAGATACTTATAATTCTTTACTACAGCCACATCCACTCCTTGGATGGACACAGGGGTTACTGGTGCCTTCCTCCTTCTCAAATTCCACAAACAGCTCCTTTGTCTTAGTTATGTTTAGATACATATGATTATCCTCATACCAGCTGACAAAGTTCTCCACTGCAGTCCTAACTCAGTCTCTTCCCCATTTCTGATACCCACTATCGCAGTATCATCAGAAAACTTCTGAATATTGCAAAACTCTGTCTGGTAGCTGAAGTCAATGGTATAGACAGGAAAAAGAAAGGGAGAGAGAACTGTCCCCATGTGGAACCCCAGTTTTGCTGACCACCCTATCCAACTCACAGTCTTACAAATACACATACTGTGGTCTTCCAGTCAGGTAGTCAACAATCTACAACATAAGGAAGACATCAACCTGCATCGCTGTTAGATTCTCACCCAGAAATGCTGGTGTGATGGTATCAACCAGTGATTCAATATCCTGGCAGCAGACATTTTCCTTTATAGTTATGTGACAATGGTTTGCACCACCTATTTACAAAAAATAGCAAGCTTCCTTTCCTCTTACCACTCATTATGCAGTCCCTCTCTGCTCAAATAATCTGGAAGCTGTTTGCACTGACATTGTGATTGAGGATATCTCAACCACAGCCACATTTTCAAAAAATACATACACTCACAAAATTTCAATTGACTGTGGACTAGCACCATTAGCTCATCCACATTATTTGCAAACTATATCACATTTCCCATGATAATAGAGGGAATATTTGTTTTAAATCTCCTCTCCCACCATACCTCTGTCCTCCACTGTGGTGGACAACAGCATTGCTGAAAATAGGTACTCCCCTGCTGTGTCCCTGAAACTGAAATAGCTGATCCTTACTGTTGTGAAGTAGACTGGGGAACTTGTAGGATATATGGTAATTAACTTTGTGAACTACTGGGGGGACCCAACTGCTGTTGCTGTATGAACAGTGAAGGAGATCGGGATTGCTGCTGTTGGATGAAATTATGCTGCACAGGATTGCTAGAAGGAAACACTGAGTGAGGGAACCCAGCTGCTGTTGCTGTATATAAGGTGTAAAAGATGGAAACTGCTGCTGCTGGGTGACATTTTTCCACTGACGGCATGTGTGTGTTTCCCAGGTCTTGGAGCTTTTAGGCTTTCTGTGTAAATCAGGACATTCAGCAATCTGAAAAAAGGCAGTGCATCATACTGCATAGATCAATGGAACTTTCCCAGTCTATTCCCAGCAAATCCCATTTTCTTTATGTCACTTCCCCCCACCTAGTATGAGGCAAAAAGGCTGAGAAGCACTAGGCATGATGGTGGACAACAGCTGAAATACAATATTGAATGTGAAGAAAATAACTTGCTGTTGCAGTTTGCGTAGTTTTGCATTTATATGGCACAGTTTGATGTTTCACATTAAAGAACTGCCAGCTAGAGTTTGGCTTTTTTTCTTTTTAACTCTGAGTATGTAAAAAAAAAAGGAAATGCTTTTCAGTTATTTACGTGGGTTGCTTTTTTGTGTCATCTAAAAGTTTCTTAAAGAATGTGCATTCAATGGTTTTACGTTAACAACTTACAATAATGTGCAGAACATCATAAAATTAATCTCAGTGTTGTCTAAATATGATGAACACACATTGAGTAATCATTGATATAATATTATTATATGTACCTAAAGACAGATACAAGACAGCAGAACACAATACACACAAATAAAGCAGAAATGGAAATGGATGATACGCTGAGTTAGACGATATTACAAAAGTATCTGGTTTTGCATGGCGTGTTTCTGGAATTCAGTATCACATTATTTGACAATAAAGCCCAGGAGAGAGTTTGTACCAAACAGCAGTGACAAGTGACAGGTTACATTTTACCTGTAACACAATGCAGCTGCTGTAAATTTCAATTACCTCCAGTCTGCATGTGTTCAGAAATGAGTCTTTCTTATGCTGGAGAGCTTCCACCGTGGAGAGGTTTAAACAGGGGAATCCTAAGAGGAAAAACACCCATTGATCACACGTTTGTTCACGTGGATCTCCATGGTTCATGTTCCCCCAGTAATAGCTTCACAGCACCATATTTCATCTGGCAATTTACAGAGAGCTGAATAGAACTTCACTGAAGCAGAAATCCCCATCTTAAAAAATCTTTATGTCATTCACTCAGAGAAGTGCAGGGATGTATAGAAATTGGGTTGATGGTTAATAATTTAATTTTGACATATTTAGGAGATTGAAAACTTTTTAAAGGAATTCCAATAAGATGATGTTATGGATTTTCTGTGCCATGAATAGGCCTGCTGCATGTTAAAATAGTTTGTCTTTTAATTTTTTTTCAGTCGAAGGTGCATGTACAAAACATTTTATGTATGTTGGATGTTTTACTCATTATATAAAAGATATGATCTGGCTTTTTAAAATGAATACAATTATTTTGGTGCGGCTTCCCATGATTAAGAGGATGACTCACTGGAATGTAAGAAAACCATTTTCTGAATTTCTGCACGAATGACTTCTAAAATGTGATCTGATCTTCATCTAAGTCAGGATAATAAATGAAAATAGTTTTATATTACAAACAATACAGATAATTTACATTACTTGTTTTATTGAACAAATACTTTCAATAATGAAGGTTAGTGATTTAGGCCCCTTTATTTTGTAATGGAGCGGGTGTGCTGGATTTTATGCCAAATAAGGTATGCACCTGTAAAAGAAATTGAAAAGGGGCTGCATATCGTGTAATAAGTGAGGGAACCCAGATTAGTTACATGATGCATGCTTTCTAAAGTTGCAAGTGTAGAGGATTGGGTCACATAAGCTGTGCAATATCCCTGAACTACAGCAATGAAAAGAGAAATCAGAACTAGGGTTTTGTGGGTTTACTATAAAGACTGTGGGACTTGCTTAAGTTCTGTTTAACATACTGTACACTAAATTGCAAAAAGTATTGGGATGCCTGCCTTTACACGCACATTATTTACATGTGCCTTTACACTCAACCCAATCTAATCTGTAGAGTTCAATACTGAGTTTGCCCACCCTTTGCAGCTATAACAGATTCAACCCTTCTGGGAAGGCTGTCCACAAGGTTTAGGAGTGTGTCTATGGGAATGTTTGAACATTTTTCCAGAAGTGCATTTGTGTGGTCAGGCACTGATGTTGGACGAGAAGGCCTGGCTTGCAGTCTCCACTCTAATTCATCCCAAAGGTTGAGGTCAGGACTCTGTGCAGGTCAGTCAAGTTCCTCCACCCCAAACTCGCTTATCCATGTCTTTATGGACCTTGCTTTGTGCACTGGTGCGCAGTTATGTTGGAAAAGGAAGGGGCCATCCCCAAACTGTTCCCACAAAGTTGGGAGCATTAAATTGTCCAAAATGTCTTGGTATCCTGACGCCTAAAGATTTCTCTTCGCTGGGACTAAGGGGCTAAGTCCAACCCCTGAAAAACAACTCCACACCATAATCCCCCCTCCACCAAACTTTACACTTGGCACAATGCAGTCAGGCAAGTACCGTTCTCCTGGCAATCATCAAACACAGACACATCCATCAGATTGCCAGACAGAGAAGCGTGATTCGTCACTCCAGAGAACATGTCTCCACTGCTCTAGAGTTAAGTGGCGGCATGCTTTACACTACTGAATCTGACGCTTTGCATTGCACTTGGTGATATAAGGTATGGAAGCAGCTACTCAGCCATGAAGCTCTCTACGCACTGTTGTTGTGCTAATTTGAAAGCCACATGAAGTTTGGAGGTCTTTTGCTATTGACTCTGCAGACAGTTGGTGACTTGCGCACTGTGCGTTTCAGCATGCGCTGACTCCTCTCTGTCATTTTATGTGGCCTACCACTTTGTGGCTGAGTTGCTGTTGCTCACAGTTGCTTTCACTTTGTTATAATACCACTAACAGTTGAGCGTGGAATATTTAGTAGCAAGGAAATTTCACGGATGGACTTATTGCACAGGTGGCAAACTACCACGGTACCATGCTTGAATTCACTGAGCTCCTGAGAGCGACCCATTCTTTCACAAATATTTGTAGAAGCAGTCTGCATGCTTAGGTGCTAGATCTTATACACCTGTGGTCATGGAGGTTATTGGAACACCTGAATCCAATTATACTTTTGGCAATATTGTGTATATATACACTTATCGGTCACATTATTAGGTACTCCTTGCTAGTGCAAAGAAAATATCCCCCACACCATTATTACACCACCACCGTCAGCCTGAATGATTGATACAAGGCAGGATGCATCCATCCTTTCATGTTGTTTACGCCAAATTCTGACCCTACCACCTGAATGTCGCAGCAACCAGTCTGCCTATTCTCCCAATACATTTGGCAATAAAGTGTATGCGACCTCTCTGCCTTTTTTTGGACTTCTGCTTACGTAGGATGCTGTCCTGCTTAGCGGATTACTATGAATTAGTATAGTATAGGCCATGGGTGCTCAACTTGTGGCCCTTCAGCTGTGACAGAACTACAAGTCCTGTGAGGCATTGAAAGGCTGACAGCTACAAGCATGACTCCCAAAGGCAAAGGCATGATGGGACGTTCTGCAACAGCTGGAGGGCCACAGGTTAAGCACCAATGTTATACTGACTATAAACAGTTGCTAAGAGTGAGAGCTGTTCAGTCAAGGCCTAAATTCTTATTTTTGTTTCTTAGTGTTGTCTTCTATATATATATATATTATATATATATATATATATTACACACACAATATACTACACTTAGCATCTTCGTGTCTTTAAGATCAAAGGGCAGTTCACTCAAGTTCTATCAGCTGATGATACTTTGTAAAGTTTGCAAATTCAATAAACATAAAGCTGAATTCAGGGCAAGTATTTAACCACTTGCCTACTGGGCACTTTTACCCCCTTCCTGCACAGGCTAATTTTCAGATTTCAATGCTTGTGCATGACAACTGCGCTGTCATGCAACACTGTACTCATATGAGATTTTTATAATTTTATTCACAAACAGAGCTTTCTTTTAGTGGTATTTAATCACCACTGGGTGCTTTATTTTTTGCTAAACAAACAAAAAAAGACCGAAAATTTTAAAATAAAGTTTTTCTTAGTTTCTATTATAAAAATTTGCAAACAAGTAATTTTTCTCCTTCACTGATGTGCGTTGATGAGGCTACACTGATGGGCACTGATAGACTGCACTGTTAGGCAGCACTAATGAGTACTGATGAGGCAGCACTGATGAGGTGGCACTGATGAGGAGGCACTAATGAGGCTGCACTAATATGTGGCACTGATGGGTACTGATAGGCAGCAATGATGGGCACTAATAGGCAGCACTGAAGAGCACTGATAGCTGGAACTGACTGGTGGCACTGATAAGTGGCACTGACTGGTGGCACTGATAGGTGGCACTGACTGGTTGAACTGATGGGCACAGATTGTCAACACTAACAAGCACAGATTAGCAGCACTGATTGGCACAGATTTGCAGCACTGTTGGGCACAGATTAGCAGCACTGCTGGTCACAGGTTGGCAGCACTGCTGGGCACTTTTGGGGCTGCACTGATAACCAGAACACAGATAATCAGTGCCCTGATTATCAGTTTAGATGTTTCCTTTCAGACTTGCTGGTTATTGGCAGTACTTTCCTCGCGCTATGACAGCATGAGGAAAGTACTAGCAATAACCGGCAAGTGTATTTACATGGTGATCAACTGTGATTGGACACAGCTGATTACGTAGTAAAAATTTGCTGTGATTGACCCTTTACTGTGTCATATGATCAGCTGTGTCCAAAGGACACAGTGATCACATAGAGTGCCTGGTGAGTGCTGCTGCCCATGAGGGAAAAGCACTGTTCTGGGAGGATATCATATGTCGCCCTCCTGGATGACCATGCTGTAGCAGTCATTTGACTATAGCGCGGTCAGGAAGTGATTAAAAAACAACATATGCAGGTATGTATTCCAACTAATGTAAGTCCTTGAGTTTGTTTTGAAATCAGTCCCTTGAATTTCCTGAGCATAAAGACATATCCAGTTAGAACTGGGACTTCAAAACGTATTCAATAAAATGGAGAAGACATAAAAATTTGACAAGCTCATTGACTCACATGAAGCAAGGGTCGCCTTTTGCGGTTTCCTAGAATGTGACTCAGAGCGTAAAAACACAAAAGCAAAACCAAATGGTGAAGAAATGGAAAAATGCTTAATATAACAGTGCAGCAATTTTAGGATATACAGTAAACAAATTCATGCCTGCTTATGGGTTTGTTTACGTTGTGGAAAGCCAGCTTAATGCTCTCCAGTAGAAGTGATTCAGGCAGCTATAATCACCCTGATGAAGTCACGTGACAGCGGAATGTGGTGACGTCATTTCCGATACGAACGGCCGCAGTCATATTGGTACACCCAGTACACTCTTATCAGCACATATGATTGATGCCTTGTTTGATCTGTTCCCATGTAAGTGTGCATTTGTCTTTAAAATAAATTTGATTCATTTACAATATTACACTATGGAAGCACTTTTTCTTGTCTTCCTTTGAGTACTGTGAGCTGGCTGTTTTTTCTGGTCCAACGGACCCCTGGCAGGAGTTCTGTGCGCTGGCTGATTTCCGTGTCCAAAGGTGAAAGATATATTACCACTGCTGAACAGTATGGTCCACCAGTGAGGGGGATATCATCCCTACATTGCCGTTTGGGATGCCACTTAAAGGGCCCTTGCAGTGTGTTCTGAAAGCCTTTTGGCCCCTTGGGGTCTGGGCATGGAGGTGAGGAGGCATTTTAGCCGGTGTGGGATTCACTAATCATTTACTTATCCACGTTGTTGTTTTTTTTTTTTTTTTTGCAGGCGTTTTTGTTGGACATTTTTGCAAATGGACTTTATGTCGCATTTTATGATTTTTTTTTTAGTCACGTTTTTTATTTCTTCATTGTGTTATTGTATATTACAGTGCACAGTAATACATTTATTTGGTTTCACTATGCGTTTGTATCACCATTTTCTGTTTTATACTAGTTGCACTCTATATATGTTTGCCACATTTATTTATGGTATTTATATGGTCACTTATTAGTCGTTTTATGTCACATGGCCGTTTGATGCTTAATTTGGTATGATCCTTTAGTCGCATGGTCACAATTTTTGGCCTCACTGTGCGTTGTTATTGTCATTCTCCTGTGATAAGTGGTTTGTCCACTTTTAATATTTAAGCACTTAATTTTGTATTTTTCACATTCTGCTCCACTCTCTCATTAGTTGTATTCACGTTATTTTAGTTATGTTATGATGGACTCTAATGTCCCACTATTACTGTGATTTAGTTAATATTTTATTTTTCCATGATCATTTCTTGCGTTTTGCCCACGGTCACGGTTTATTGTCTGTTACACCTTTTGGTCTTCATTTTGGATCTTTATTATTTCACTTTTGCTTTCACTCCCATATTCCTTCCATTTACTGATTATGTTATGGTGTATTATCTATTGTCTTCTCATCTCACTATTTGTCTTGGAATGTCTGTGGCATTATTGTGATTAGTGCAACATCAATTTTCTGTTTGTTGTAAAGCGATTTGCAACCACTTCTACATGTAAATAAACTTCAGAATGTGCTTTATTTGCCAAGTTTTTACAAGCATACAAGCAGTATATCTTTGGCTTAAAGAATAAAATGGCGCTCAGGACATTTTGCACATAGATAAATATTTATGCTTGTGTGTACATTGAAGCAACAATACAATATGCAAGTTGCACCGCAGAAGAACCTCTTAAAGGACTACCCCTCCTGTTAAATCACCCTGCACATCCCTTTTTCTCTGCTTCAATTGATACTAATCCTTTAATGGACTCTGGCAGTAATGTCTCACCTTTGGTAGTTTACACATCATCACTTCCCACTGCTGCACCTACTGTATGGTGGCTTTGCTACAGTTTATGCTACTGTTTGCTACTGTTTATTCTGATATGGAAACCAAGTATCGCCATACTACTTAGTCTTTACTACCCAACATTTCATATTCTAATAGTGTTACCATCAGTGTTACTTCAGTTCTATGTTTGCTTTGTTATCAACTTTCCCTAGTTACAATATATTATGTGGCTTTAATAACTTGCTTAATGCCTGTTTCTTTGACAAAGTGTTACTGGTGATTGCCAAGTACTACTTTTAGTGAGTTTCTGTGCCATTGCATGTCCTTACACTTAACCCAGTATGTAAGAGGAGCTGAGGTTCCTGGGAGGTCAAAGCAAAAGAGCAAGGAACCCATTCTATTCAGCAGCTAATATGGGGGTAGTGCAACAATAATAAAACCTGGTATTCCCCTGGTTCTTACATAGTGAGATTTATGTTGTAGTTCTTTTAGGCATCACTAGTTCTTCTTACACATCTTTGTTTCTTAAAGCCCAACTCCAGGAAAATTACAAAAAACACCCTTGCAAAGGGGCGCCCGTGCACTCCAAGAGGTAAATACATGTTTAGTCTAGGAACAGAGGTTTAAAGCGGAACTAAAGACAAAACATAAGGAATTAGGAACAGGCAGGCTCTTCATTATAGAAAAGACATGCAATGTTTCTTCTGCAAAACTAAAATTACTTGCCGGTTTACAATCCTCTACAAAATGTACAGAGCATTCCATGAACTGCTCCATTTACTATTCTAACATGGTGCCAGTCTGCAGGAATGAATGATTCCCGTTACATCACCAGTGACATCACCTGCCGAAGACCTGTTATGGCTGAGAAGACCAGCACCCAGAAAAAGCTGGTTAGAAGACACTGGTACTGGTGAGGTACATTGCAAGCAACAGAATGTTGGAGCATAGGTAAGCATTTATTTCCTTTAATTCCACTTTAAGATGTGAATACTTGCCTTACTCCTCACACCGGTGCTGCAACCAGTCTACCACAGATTCTCTGTTAGCTGTGACTGGCTCCATTCACAATTCAGCCTCCTCAGCATACAATACAGGTTTATTTTCCCTGTATGATGATGATGCTGAGGCTCCACCCAGAGAGTATAGCTTCAGGTGGAGTAGGAGAGTAATGGATGTGGCCAGAGCGGGGGTGTGAGGGA